CCAGCACAAGTTTGAAGGAAAACACAGTGAAGTTATATCAGCTCTTTTGAAATCCCACCCCCACAGGTGCACCAGCCTGTTATGACCATGAGAGGTTAGCCTTCTAGCTGACTTGTGGTAGAGGACTTTTCTTCATATGTCAGAAGGGAGGAGAGTTTTTTGAATATTTCTACTGGGGCCTGCAGTAGCAGCACATGGCAGCTACCATCGTTCATGGGCAATAGGGGTTGAAAATTAAATTCAGAAAATCAGACCAAATGTAGTCACAGAAAATCTCTGTCAGTAGAGTTAAGACAAATCTGCCAGGATAGAGATGTAAGGCCAAATCCTCAGTTGGTGTAAATCAGCACTGAGGCTATAACACAATTACAATCCCCTTAAAGATCTTCCTCTACTGCTGCAATAAACTTTCCTTGTTTTCTCCTTATGATTCTTCATAAGTTGAAGATAAGTTAGTTGGTGCTAACTCACTGTATATACTCATAATGTTACTTCCTCTCTTCCTCTCTCAAAATTTGTAAATGGCATTATAAAATCTAAGCAATCACTATTTTTTCTTCAAATCGAGTATATTTTGAAGGCTTGATATTGCTATGAAGACCAGAAAACATGGTACATTGTTCAGGTTACATACATGGCAACCTGCGATCTTTCTATTTCCTCATCCTAATCTTCCTCTGAGGTCTCTGAAGAGAGAAAAAAAAAAAAAAAAAAAAAAAAAAAAAAAAAAAAAGGAAAGGAAAGAAAAAAAAAGAGCAAAACTTAGCTCTAGGCCACTAAGCTGTGTCCTTTCCACATTATATTGATTCACAGGGGGCAATGGCCACTTTTGTAGGCCTCTCAACAGTGTCTAGCAGAAAAAGAAACTCGCTTTGCAGAAATAGTTGCTGTTGCCAGAATCATCCTGAAACACAGTAAAGTAGAAAATTGGTCAATCAGAGAAGTTACTTGCTCTGCTCTAGGCTTATGAGCTGTGATTCCATTTGACATCCACAGGCTCTGACAGGACTTTCCAGCATTGCTTTAAGAAAAGAAATAGAAAAAAAGGGGGGGAAAAGCCTTCCTTGCTTATGTTATCCTCACATAATAGCTTTTGAGGTAGGCCTTTCTAACTCACTGTACTCACCAGTGTGCCAGGATATTGAAATGGGAATCTGCAGACCAAAGCAAGCTCAGTCCAAAGATCTCAACAAAAGGAATTTGAGATTCTGCTGCCATGTGAATGTTATAAAATAAGAGCTGGATATTTGGCACTCTTCTGCTGACTGTAATTTGCTGCATTTAACTAGTCTGCTGTTTGCTTCGCTGCAACCCATGGGATGCCTCTGGCTAAAACATTGCTTGTAACCTGGATTTCTATTTTATTAACCTTCCCCTTTATCTAATGACAGTCTGTCATGTTCTGGGATGCCAGAACAATGTTTGCCTGATAAGATGTCTCCTGGGAAAACAGGCAGTTATAATGGATAAAAGCATAAAAAAATGGCCAGCTTCAGCAGAAACTGCTGCTCTGTGAACCTGCCTTAATTAATATGTGCTCTACCCTTGGTGCATTTGTACTGCCACAAATGTCATTATTTTCAGTTTAAGGATGCCTGCAAAGAGGGAAGAGTTCTTCTAGAAACCTGACCTCTTCCAGATTGGTGCTGTGAAAAACAAAGTGCTCTTAGGGGAGTGGGGAAAATAGGAAAAGGGAAACTTTGCTCTAAATCTACAGCTCTCCAGATGTTTTCATTTGGACATATGTGATAACATTCTATTACCAGAACCCTGTAATCTGTCTTCATTGTGTATATTTAATATGGACAGAGAGATCTAGAGCTTTGATATCAATTATCCCTTCACCATGATTTTTTCCCTTGGATTTCCTCATTTCAGTTCATTTTGTTCCATGAACTCTTTCACAGCTCTTTGTAGTAGCAAAGAGTAATTATTCATTTGACATATTCTTTTCCTGTCCTCTCAGCCACCACTGGGCTTCTTGTTTCTGACAAACAGAATTTCCTGACCAATAAATAAGCTTTCTGAGGACAGCAGTTTGAAAAACAGGTGTGAAATGCAGTGAAAATGTCATCTACTTCAATTTAGATATGCTCCATTTCAGTGGCTAAGCCAAATTTTGATCCCCAACTCACACATAAATCTTTCTCATCTCTTTATTGAGTCCAAGTGCTTTAGGTTTTGACACGGACCATTCACTGTCCTGGAAGTATACCCTTAGGAAATCAAAGACCAGTTTATTTAGTGAATATACAACCACCGTAACAGACAAAGAGTTTTCTATCAATTAAAATATGAAAATGTCTTATGTCCTTCTTGCTTCCTTGTCACTTTGTGGCTTCCCAGGAATTCACAGCAATAAGGCCATGATTTCTGAGCTATGCTATGTCATAATTCACACGAACCTTCTTATCTTTTCTGCTTTTGTGCTAGATATGTCTTTAAACAAGGAATCTCGGATGAAAATAAAATTTATTCTCTTCATATTATGTACAGTCACAGCTTCCAAAGATTTAACTTCAAATATTGTCTTTTTTGGTTTTATTTTTTATTTTAACCATTTCAACAAGCAGCTGTCTGTAGTATCCCAGATCGCATATCATTCTCTTAGTGATGAAAAGCAAGGCACTTTTTAAGTAAATCCAAATCCATTGAACATGGGCAAGTAATTGCATATAATGAGTGCTGTGTAGGACTGGTGATGGCTGTGCAAAAGCTGTTCTGTAGCAGATACAGCCCATAACATGCCACTTGTCATCTGTCAGGACGTGTTAGGTAGTCTGCATGTGTGATTTGTGAAATCTCAAAAAAAAAAAAAAAAAAAAAAAGCAAAAAGCTAAGAATTCTGTTTCCAATTAAGTTTCTATGTTCATGAGAAATACTGAGGGTGACAAAAGAGTCTAAAAGAGTCTGAGCACTAACGGTATCTGCCAAGATGCATATATCAGGAACTTACATACCAGTTAACTGAACAGTACATTTTTTCCCCTCTGAATTCTACATCCTTTCTGTTATCTCTGGGATTAGATTATTTGTTGGTTGCATGAGTTTGTGGGTTTTTGTTTGATTGTTTTTAAAATGAAACAAAATATTAATCCAGAAACAGACCGTGTATTGGAAAAACTATAAAATTGAATTTCTTATCAACATCTTTCTACCCATCACTCTATTCTGGCTACATTTAGTATGTCCTTATTGTAATAAACATCTTTATTTATATATGTCCTCAATGCTCAGTAGACAATGTATGTATAGATACGACATCTCTAATTAAGTATAGACAGATAACAGCACAATGCCCTATCTGTCAGCAGTCTTTTAGGTAGATGGACCAAATGGTATTTGCTCTAACCCAAGAGTACAGCTCCCTTGGAGGCACAATGATTAGATTTTACAGCTCATTACTTAAAATCAAGAGAAATATATTGTTTGAGTAATCTGTTTGCAGCTTAATTTCTCAACATAATTAATTGTTCTTCCCCAAGAAGGGTAGGCCCACATGTTCTTTTCATTGTTATTAAACTGTTTATTGAGGTAGCTTGCATGGGAAGATCAGCTAATTATAAACAGCTGAATACTAATGTGACTTTGATAGAAGTAAGGCTTAGTGACAGAGTGCTGGCATTTTAACTGGAACTAAACTTTATCATCCTTTTTTTTTTTTTTTTTTTAAATTCAGAGGATAAATTAAATGTCAATCTGAATGCCTGCATCTGTTACAACAGCCTATATTCAATAAAGGTAGCTAAGAAAAGCAGTCAGGAAAGAACATTATGATTCTCCAGGCTTGTCTTTGGAATTACTGTCTCTGTAATTATTTGGAAATGTTTGGTATGGTTAAGATACAGAATTTAGTCTAATACCATCTGTTGAAGGATCTCTTCCTACCTACGACCTCCCAGTACAGGAGCCACATCTATTTTCTTGAGAGATGGAAATTGGCTTTGCTCTGGGAAAATGACAATTTCCATTACCTAAGAAAATTGCCAGGTAAAGGGAAATGATCTGATGGCAGGAGCAGCAGACCTGTCACCAGCATGTCTGGGTGTCTGCATGTCTACCTGCCACCGAGCGGAACCTGATAGTAAAATATTTGCTTAAGCTATTCTCATTTCAATTTTCAAATTCTACTAAGTGTGAAATAGGGTTAGGTTTGCAATGAAGGAGGTGTCAGACTGCTAATGTTCATATTTAGATGTACACAAGGATGTAAATATAGCTTTAATAGGTTCCACTATGCTGTCCCAGGTATCTCAGGCAATGGAATAGCCATAAAAATAAAAATTACCTTCAGCACTCTTAGCTGACAGTGAAACTTGGCTGAAAAACAGAATGACAGTCTCTAGAGCTTACACAAAACGTTTCCCTGTGGTATGCTCATAGCCAGATAAAAGAGGAAAACCTGGTTAGGAAACCAAGTACTGTTACTGGGCAGATGCAACATATTTTTATGTTTTAAATTTGAATGCAAGTACCTTAATATTCCTAAACAGAAACCATGTTTCTGTAATCAGCAGACAAATATCAAGCCTTTTTCTCATTTCCCTTTTTTTTTTTTTAAAAAAAAAAAAAAAAAAAAAAAGGTTAGGAAAAACTATACATGACCTTTAACAAAACAGTGATCAAACCTGGAGCAATGCTAATTCAGATACAGAATGACTGTAAAGCCCTTTACTTCTCATCACACCAAAAGCTCAGTCAGCCTAGATTGGATAGGATTGCATAAAGCCAAGGGCATTCACCTTTATTAAAAAAGACAGCCTCAGTGTAAATCTGTACATCCGTTAATAAGGTCTCAAGACAGCTGAATACTTCAGCAAACACCTAGCACTTTGTTGAGTAGGGACAGACTCGAGCACATTCTTATATAATTAAGCACATGCTTGCAGGGTTTTACTGTAATGGGACCTCCTCCCAGCCTTCATTATAAACTTGTGTTTCGGAGATGAAGCTGAAAACACAGAGGGTTAAGAGGAAAGCTTTGTAAGTGTTTGAAAAGGCAAAGTGGGAACAAAAGCATTAATGTACACTGGGTTTTATTTCTGGCTGTTCTGCCCACAGTTTCGGTCATATGTTTGGAGAATTATTAGATGCTGTGCTGCACAGCTCCAGCCTCAGCCCAGTGATTTCTTACTTATTTCTGTTCTGTGATTTAAGAGCAAAAGTGACAACCAAAGTCCCTTTCTACACAGCTGAGTAAGCAGGCTCATGATAACTTATGAAATAAGAAAAAGGTATTTTTGATATGTCTGTAAGAATATAAAATATATTTTTTTCTTTGCTGTTCATTTCTATAACTACCATCTCAGGAATCAGAACAGGCTGGCAAGGAGTTTCCAGTGTGAAATAATTTAGTATCATATCCTCTGTCCAGGGAGAGAGTTTGTTATTTTTTACAAACCTGAAGACAGGAGGTCTCTTCTGGCCATAGGGACATTCAGTCACAGTCTTTGAAGAACATATGTGACAAAGGTGGGTTCAAAAATATCTAAATGATTTAAATTTGTAATCATCAGGTGTTTACTGCAGCATTGTTTTTAAACACCTGTTTTTAAATCTAGAAGAGAAGGAAATCCCTGGGGATTTTTTTTTTTTTAATGTGATGGCCTCTTCCCTCTACCATACCAGTAGTAAGACACCGGGAAGAGCCTATTCCTGCCCTCAGATTTAGCATTTAACATGAGGGAACTGCCATTAATTAACCTGGAAACAAGAAGGCTGAGGGGAGACATCATGGCTCTCTACAACTGCCTGAAGGACGGTGTCAGTCTCCTTTCCCAGGTGACAAGTTATAGGACATGAGGAAATGGCCTCATGTTCAGTTGAGTTGATTAGGTATCAGGAAGAGTTTCTTCATGGAGAAGGTGGTTAAGCATTGGAACAGGCTGCTCAGGGAAGTCCCCATCCCTGGAGTTACTTAAGAGATGCATGGATGTGGTACTGAGGGACATGGTCTAATGATGGGGCTCAGTAGGTCAGGTTGATGGTTGGAGTGATGATTTTGAAGGTCTTTTCCAACCCAGATGACTATGATTTTGTATTCCTTTGTGCCGTTCACATGTTGAACTTCTTGCACAAATGTCAAGTCAACCTGCAGGCTTTGAATTCCAGCAAAAGCAAAGGAAACATCTTCCAGTACCCCAAAACAACTGAAAAAAAAGCTGCACAAAAGAGCGCAGAGAAGTGTATTTGGAACACCAGGGAAAAACTGGAAGAATGCAGTACACAGTGTGAAATGGCATATCTCTCCATGATCAAATATGATTAAAAAAAAAAAAAAGTCAATCTGGGACTAAATAGTAATAATAATACTGTTTCAAAATGAAACTGCACAAATAACCCGAGCTCACCTATACAAATATATACTGAAAAAAATGTGTATTCAGACAGTGTCCTTGTTTGCCAAGTCTGTAATACTCAGTTATTGCTTTATTAAATTGTGAAATTGTGCATTTGCATGTGTATTTGCATACAAAAAAAAAAAAAAGTATTTTAATAAAAAGATAGTCTTCCTTCCATTAATACAAGTATTGAAGGGGAAGTGAGGTTTCTGTGATAAACTAGAGACTGACCCAACAAGATTTACTGTGGCCTTGTTGTTGCTCTCTTACTGTGAACTGCTTGATTTGTACATGTGAAAAAGCAATTTATCCAAGGCAGTGTGGCCTTTCTACTCCAAAGGTATTATTCATCTAGATCCCTGTATATGGATTTTGAAGTATTCCAGGCCCTGAGTAGCTTTAAACAAGTGATATTGCTTGAACACAGCTGAACTGAAAGGAGATGTCACTTTTCTTGTAGTGGTAAGTTTGACAATGGCTGTGCCTGAAGACTCAAAGGGCAGTTCAGCAACTGGATGATTACGAAAAAATAATAGAACTGTCTTTCTGAGTGCTCTCAGTTGTGAGTTCTTGAATTGTGAGTGCTCTCAGTTGTGAGTTCAGCCAAGTGACCAGAAGGAGTTAGATGACAGTTTTAAGAGTACTGATTTCCAGAGTACAAAACCATTACCAAAACTTACAGTAATGAGATTCATCCAAAAATGGTGAAGGACTTAATAGATTTAGACCTAAACCCTTAGGTCAAACCAAAAGTGCCCTGAGGAGAATCTTGAGCTGTGATGGGAGACAGGAGACTTTCATCTCCAGAGCTATATCAATCTTCAATCAGCACTGAATTAGCAAGAACAATTCAGAAAGAAAGAGAAGGCTTTGGGGTTCTTATTGCAGCCAGTCCTCTGCGACCTTCACAAATAAAACTAGGCTGGGGAAGAAAGAAAAAAGAAAAAAAAAAAGGTTGTGTAACAAATGCTGCGCAAGGAAAAGTGATACAATGGCTAGATTTTAGAGGACAGCACAACAGAGCTCTAGATGATTATGATGAAAAGGAATCCAGTTAAAAATAACCAGGGGACACCCAATAGAGGAGATGGGCAGCTGATGATCTCTCTACAGCTGTTGACAGTCAATATCATTATTTGCTAAAAAATAACAAGTGTTACTGCACAATGTATTTGCACAAAGAGGTTTTTTTTTTTCCTTTCTCCTTTCTCCTTTTTTCTTTTCCAGGGCTGGTGCTGATGGCAGTCAATATCAGATTGCTTCAGACCCTCAGCACCCAGTCTGGACATCACTGCCGCACTGTATTTGATTCATGAGAGCAAAATCTTCTGCAAAATCTTCTAAGGCCACATACTTAAATAAACAAGCAAATAAATAAATAAAAAGGAGGAGGGGACATTATAAAGTGTCACAGAGATGCTAGAAGTGTCAAGACTGGAAGGACTTTAAGTAATCCCTGAACCTGCTGCGATAAATACTAATACTCTCTAGCTTCATACAATTTATCTCCACGTGCTCAGTCCTCATACACAAAATGTTTTTTATAACAGAATGTACCAATGTTTGTCTTGCACCAAACACAATCATCTACCTGGTTAAAATTATGTTTGAGATAAAACTGTGATTCTCCTTCCCTGTAAATTGTTATAAAATGTGCTGTTAAATGTTTCAGTGATATTAATAAATGATGCTTAAGGCATTTGCAGAGAATAATAATCCAATGATTCTATGCTGTTATACTAATCATGCATACTTTTAATCTCTTCTGCAACTGTATGTGAGAAAGCAAAAGTAAATTTCTCATTTGCTTTGATCTTCAGTTAGCTTTGTAATATTGTCTGTTGAAATGACAAACACTGAGGAGTCTGATTACTATCATCCTCCAACACTTACACATCTTGAGTTGGGCTCCCTAATATATTATAAGATTATAGCAATAACAACCAAAGTAGAAGTGTTGTCTTGATTCACTTTCAGGATTTTAGAATTTATAGGTCAGATTTGTTCTTTGTTGTTCTTCTATTTAACCATGAAAACTAAAACATTCATGTCACCCCTGGATTCCAGGAACTAGAGCTGTAAAAAAAAAATAATAAAAAAATAAAAATAAAATTGACACTGAAGCTGCCAATATTATACTACGTTCTTCTGTAGACTGACTCATGGGCCAGAATTGTTTGAGAGAGTGAAAGTATAGATGTACTAGCCTAGTTGCAGAAGCGCCAGAGTTTGCTTGTATAACCGTATTTAGATGAGGACATTTGAAACAAATCAAGTATATCAACAGAATGTAAGAATATCAATTTATACAAAATGGTAGTTAAGCAAAAATAAATTAACATGTGGAAGTGAACAATTGTGCTCAATTGATGTTGTGGATGAGGCAACACCAATCTTATATATTGCTGCTATATTCATTGATGAGAACAACATAGCTCTTTTCTGATCACCCATGGTCAGTACACTATGACACTCACTGTGGCTCTGTCCCCTAGAGAACAAGGAAAGAGTTTGCATGGTTCTTCCCATCACAACATTTCTGTGTGAGTCTCCAAAGGGTTGACCATATTAGCTAGTCTGGCTAGCTAAAACTGACTCAGTTGTTTTGCATCAGTGGGTCCTTTTTCTGCTGAGGAGGCTTGTTGTAAGCACCTGCATACCAAAGGACTTCAGGCTGGTAGGGTATCAACTAAATGGTCCTATTTAGTGTAAAGTGTTAGAATGGGACCTTTATCTTATTAGTATAAACATTTTGCACCGATGGTTATTCAACGTCTGTAGACAAGCCATTAAGCCATAGTGTTACAACCTATCTGCCTACAAAATACTCAACACTGTCTGACTGGACTTGTCAAGATCTGTGAGACAGGTGATAGAGCAGAAAAACAAATTGATCTTATCAAACTTCTTTAAATCAGAGCAATAAGCTCCAGGTTGTTAGCTGCAGGATTCTTCTCCATATGCAGGCTGGAGATGACTGCCATGTCATCTGAGCTGAACTGGGGTGGATTGGCCAGAGCAGAGCTAAGCAGAAACTGGTTTTATAGAACCATGAGAATTTCAAAGTTTCTAGTCAGGAATCAAACCAATCTCCTGAACATCCCTGTGATCTCAGGATCTTGGGAACATTGGGTTAGATCAAATTAGAACATTTCACTCATTAGAGCATTGCTCTTTGATTTTAATTGGTGCTAAAACATAGAAGAAAAATTAGTTCTGTTCCCAACAAGGAACTTCATCCTTTAGAAAACATTGAAGACATAAATTAACTTTTTTGGATTTAGGGCTTTGTTTTTGTTTTTGTTTTCCCAGTGGGAAATTTGTAAAAAGGTTTGCTATTCAATGAAATGATGTTTTAGGGAGACAAAATTTCCTCCAAAAACTCCCATCCATCCTTAGTTTGACTCTACTTTAACGTGAAAGAGAGTTGGAGATTCTTAGATTTTTCACAGAAACAGATCTTTCAGTTATCTGAATTATAGCTAAAGCTGAATCACAGCTGTTACTATATAATGCATGCTGAGACCAAAGATAAATGCCACATCTTTCTATCGATGCAATAGAAATGCTGCAGATTTATTTGGAAGTATTCTCTGTCCTCTTACTTTCAGAGTGGCATTGTGTTCCTTATATTTTGCATTATCTACTTGCTTCTCCATTCTGACCATACAACATGTTCATCTTATCCCACTCAGCTGCATTATGTCGGGACACTATTAAATATTTACCTTCTGCAGCATAATGCAGCACTTAACACTAAGCTTGCCATTTCTGCCAAACAAACATAAACCATAGCAGGGCTTATAAAGTTATAAGTTCCAGATGGTGATGAATAAGTAATGTTGCACCCTGGGCCTAATTGCTCTAAGTTTCTAGATACCTGCGAACCATCAATTATACATTACAAGTGCTGCTCCTTAATTGTTTCTTGCTGGCATTTCAAACGAAAATGTAGAACAACAATGGCACTGTACTTGCAAGGGATTTCTCTTGAAAAGTTTTCTTTGCCATTATTAGATTTTTAAACTGTTATCTGGCTCTGAATGAAGTTTATAAAGCTGACATTGAAAAAGTTCCCTGAAAAGAAAAAAATGGAAGTCCTCACTGCCTTTTTTATGATAAAAGTGAGAATTCACTTGCTGCATGACAGTCACTGTGCCTACTGTATAATCCAATAAGAGGCTGCGCACTGTGCTTTATTAGTGATTTTAAGAGCCTGATCCAATTAGCTTAGAATTTTATCTTAATTCACTGTTCCCATTCAGCTCTGGAGAAAATATGTTGCCAGCATGGTCACAAGCTCAGCAGGAGTTAGCTGCCCTTGTCTTTCACGACTCAGCAGAGCTGTCCTGCCCGGGGAGCTCAGTTGCCTTTCTGCAGCTCCTGATCTTCCCCTCTCATGTTGCAAATACATCTCCCTCAAAGAACTGGTGGTGCTCATGTCTACCCAGAGCCATACTTCCAGGATAGAAGGTCTCTGTAAAGATGTAAGAGAACATATGAGGAAGGTCACTTAATTCTCCTTATGAACTCCCAATAGAGTTCATGTTTGGAGATCTATGAGGCATTTACCCAACAACCAAGAGGTTAGTTTTGTGTAGTACAATCACTCAAGGCATTGTAAGGTATTAAAAAACTATTGCACATCCCATTCTGAAATAGGTCAGGTAAGACCTCTTTCAGGGAAGTTATCCAGTCCACCGACGACGGAGTTGCCAACCCTGCTACTAATGAACTTTGTATTACTATCAGGAAAGAAATATTTTTTTCTAAATTATTATTTACAATCAGTGGGACATTCATATTCATTAAAGGACTGTGCTGAAGGGGAATGGATTTCATATATTTTTAAAAGTTATCCTGAATTGATAATTTTTTGTCCCTCTATGGAAGCATTTCATCAGTGTACCTACAGCAGTTTGGGTACTTTAAAGTTATGACTTGATCTAATAAGTAAAGATTTATTTTCATGCTTTCCTGTGTTGTTTGTTGTTGTTGTTTGTTTGTTTGTTTGGACTGGAACCTACTCCTAAAGTAATGTACTTAGTGGAACTGCTCATGATCTCAGCCAGTGTTCTTCAGGACTGATGCTCTCTGAAACTCCTCAGATGGTTGCAGAAGACCTACAGTGAGGTCCATTGGTCAGAATGACCTCAGGCATCCTACCTCTTGCCCCAAGCCTTGCTGCCTGCAGTACTGACTATATTGGTCCAGGACCTTGCCACACTCTTAGAAGGTCATACCTGGTAGAATTACACCCAGGCCCACAGGTAGATTACTCCCACCTTATGGGAGTACCTACTTTAAGTCAACTTCTGTATTAATCAGCTGAACAGTGCCTAGGACATTGGTTGAGGCCCCTCAGTTCCAACTTATGTACTATTAAATTGTTAGGATGTTCTTGGCCTGGCTTTCCCTGCCCTCAATGTGCGCTGTCCCATACAACCCCTGGGCTTGGCAAGGAATTAGTATGAGCCAGGAACCACTCCCAACGAGACATCTGTATTTGGCCATCTTGCCAATGAATAGGTTGAATAGCTTGGAGAAGGGTTGTTCCAGCTGGCCTCAGGGCCACAGAGTATCCCTTGTCCCTGCTCAGTGTGCAAACAGAGATTATGGGTATGCATATGCACTGCAGCCTGTGCTAAGAGGCAAAGGGAGCTGTGTGCTGCCCTACTTTGGAGTTCACTCAACGCCTGCACCAATCCTTTTGAGGAAAAGGCAAATCTGGATTTGAGGAAAAGGTCTCATACCACCTCCTCACCAGATGTATCCTTTCTGTGGAATCTGAGGCAGTGAAGTACTTTTGAATCAAGTATTAACATATTACACAGTCAAAGTTTAATTTTAACTGCAACAGAGATTGGAAAAGGACAAAATAAAATTGTAGTCTGATGAACACAAAGGCTCCTATCTTCTCAGAAAATAAATTTCAAAGGATTATTGAAACAGAGCATGGAACCGGAACAAAATATTTCACCCCCCACTACCTTTATGTTGCCAGATTTCAAGAGTGGAAAAATAAACACAATTTTAAAAATTACTCTGCCATGATAAAATGCTATAATGATTAAGATAACACGGCTGAAGGATATCTGCAACGTAGACCTGGTGACAGTTTGTGTGGGGCAATTCAGAGAAAGCCTGATTTCTTCTCAGGGAATTCACTGACAAATTGGACCAAGGAAAATATACCCACAGCATTGTCCATGTCTTGGTCCTCACATCTTTGTACTTGTCACTGTCACAGCTCTTGGATTCCGTATACTAACCAGGGAGCAAGCATTGATTTCATTGATGTTTTCAGATCATTTCCTCTGCTAGTGAACATCTGCAGTATAAAGGTTTGGATTTCTGGCTGAAGGCAGGACAGTCATTCCCATCAGAATATTACACTTGAATATTCACCCGTTTTAAAGCTGAATTCCAGTGTTAGGACTGGCATCCTGTTTACAGATATTTTGGTAGTGCTCCAAATCAGCAAAGGAGCAGAATAGAAACATTTCCAGGTATTTGTGCAATTAGCTGCAGCTCCTTTAGTGTCTTTCCAGAAAATTTTGGCAGAAGGAACTTTACATTCTTTAGGAAGAAACCTTAATTGTAACTTAAGAGTTCCCCTACAAATACATAGCATCTGTCCTGCATATGTAGGCAGATGTCAGATATTTCTCTGTGTTGCTGAGGGTTTAACTGAGATTTTTATTTTTATAGTGAGTAAGCCCTCTCCCTCTCCCCTCCACTCCTCTCCTCTCGCCACTTCACAACCTGGTCATTCAAGTGCCCTTTTTATCAAACAAAATATATTATACAAGATATTGCAGTGAAAGAAAATAACATTAGATTCAGAAAATATAGGACGTGCATATGTAGATAGCTACATTTTTGTAGAAAAGTTAATGTAGAATAATAGGATAGAGATGTTCCTTCAAAATTTCAAGCCCTCTACAGAGGAGGTTTGGTGAGGGTGAAGGAAAATTTTCTCTGTCATTTTAAGTCACCAGAGAGAGAAATCAATAGGCCCCAACTGTGCTCAGATGCACTATTTTCTGTAATCACAGATGTTAGAGTTGGAAAAGGTATATTAGGTTTATCTAATCCATTTTCCTGTCATATTGCTGCATTG